CCTTAGAATCAAACAGAAAACACTGACAGGTGGGGCCTCAAAATAATGCCTACCCCCCTCTTTCCTCCCACCTACCACCACCTCACCTCCCTCTGCCCCGCTCCTCCCCTGCAACCCCTGCCCCACTCCCCCCTTTCAGAGAAGTAGTCTTTAAACAGAGGAATGCGGTGGTTTTTTAGCGGGGTGTGCATGTCGCCTCATGCCCACCCCAGGGTTCTCACGACGTCCCGTCTTGTTTTTAGCCCTAATTAGTGGCTGCTGGCAGTTTGGAAACAGATGTTTAAAACCCTGCAAAAGATTTTAGACTTCAAACACTGGGGCGGAAAGTAGAAAGAGATTCGCCCTTCCTTCCCTCCCCTCTTACCCTTCTCCTGCTCTGCCTCCTCCAACTTCTCTCCAGCAGGACTGATTACACAAATAATACTGTACACAAAGGCGGCAGAAGAAATGAATCCGATGGTGTGCTTTATTTACATATGATGTCAGCATATCTCTAATGCTGTAAAGTTCAGGCTTTACCAGCTGCTGTTTACACAACAAAATGTTAATTAGAATAATAATAAAAAAACTACATTTTCAGGCATTTACATTGCATGCATACATAAATCCTCTCCAAGAAACAGATCAAATATGTAAACACAAACTGTAAAGTATTTTCTGAGCTAATATCCGTGACTCTATTTAATGTGAAAGTTGCTTTACAAAGATGTTGAACAATTACATTTTTCTAAAAATAACTAAGCCAAGATGTCAGAATTCTGCATTATGCAAAATTGCATTATGCACAATTCAGCCCTCTATGGTGTTGTTGCAGTGAACCAAAACAAACTACTGTGCAGTAGTTAATAAGAGCGGTTTTAAAAGCCTAATAACATGTTTAAAGTGGCTCCTTATGACATGGAAATACTTCACGGAGGTAGTAAATTTCTTGGCCAAGTTGTTTTTTGTTCCTCTCAATCGTTTAGAGAGCACACCTAAAAACAAATGCTTGGCACGCTTTCTTGCGTTCATGTTGCAGAGCTTAAAGCCATGCCGAGGTTCTGTTGAATCCTGTCTGTTCATTAGGCAGGTGGTGACAGTGCTGGCTATGTAACAGTCTTCCATGTAACTGGCAAGCGTCTATTAGTAATTACAATTTACCATCAGTGCATGACTTCAGGGGAGTAAGGAGAGATGGTATCCCCCTTTTCAGGAAGGAAACTATACATTTCAACCTCTTTTCCAATTATTTTTAAATATGTGATGTTGCCAATCTCTTGTTCAGTACAGGGAACTTATTTTGAACATTTGAGACATTTTCCCTGACTCAAATTATTTTCAAGAGTTATGTTGGCAGTGGAAGAGGAGGTGCAGGAGTATGTGTGCCAGTAATAATCCAACAGCACAGTGCAGTTTGGCTAGTTTAAAGTAAAAGTGAAAGGGTGGTTAGGGTGAGTGTTTTTGTACTGCAGTGTATTTCTGAGTGAAACGG